TCAGTTGGCATCTATGCCTGTGAAAGAGGACGTAAATCCAATAAAAAGGGGGTGTTGTATGATTGGTGATCCTAAATGAAAATGTCAAAACAGCTGCTGTTTTGTTCTTTGGTAAAACCAAACAACGCTGGTTGATCCTAAATGGTGATTAGGAATTGGTCCTCATTTTCTTTACCTGGTTGTAAAAAGTATTGCATGTACTGAAGAAGAAAATATGTTGAAAAGAAATGGCCAATTATTGAATTATTACTGCTTTCATTGTAATAGCTTTAAAAAGAGTTTTAGTTTGCAAGATGTGTTCATATACAGTATATATTAGTTTCTGGTGCAGTGTCGCTGCATGTCTGCATATTTATCAGAGTAAATTTAATCTCTCAATGCTTCATGAAAGAAAGACGTTAATACCACACATGTTGACAGAATGTTGACATGGCTTTGTTTGCTGATTGATGCTTTAATTATCTTAAATTATCAAATTAGCATAACCGGTTTAGATTCATTTATCATGATATGTATAACTGGACATAAATACCCTCACCAGCCTCCTGGTATGCTATAAGGCTTGCAAATCATTCAGCCTGCTAAATACATAGGATTTCCTAATAAAAACAAACATTAAAAACATTTTTTTCCCTCTAAGCTAACAAGTAAAGTCAGCCATGTTGAGTAACTGTCACCATCACTGTCATATGAACATTTGATGAGCTGGAAGGCTACGAGACGAGTCACCTACACACAAATACCAGACAGATAATACAGCTCCTACATTGTGTCTAGCCATCACAATGGCAGTGGTGTGTGTGCTTGACTCTCAGTAGCCTGGCATATGGCCTGTGACCCTGTAGCCTCTGCGTCTGTGTCATTATGATACCGATAGTGTGGCTGTGAATAGAGCCAGTCAGGACTCAATAGAGCAGACTGGGACCATCGCATAAAGGCCATGGCGTCTGTCTTTCACCGCAGACTGATTACGGGACTGCGTGTCTGCACATACATGTATGTGCAGACAGGAGGATCTAATGAGATGCTGTTATATTATTGATGCTTTACCTCTGCTGCCTACCTGCTGTTAGGTGGGCTGGCAGACGCTGGGTTTGATCTGATTGGTGGGCTTTTGTGTGTGCGTGTGTGTGTTTTTTTTTTTTTCAGCAAGGTTTGAAAAAGTCTTCATTGTTTTTAAAAAATGATACGGTATCAAGTAGTCAAATCAATCAGTAGATAATCTGAAATTCTTTTATTGTAGTCACACAAAGCTTGATATTAATTTTGCCCATAACTTATGCAGAGGTTGTTGACTTTAGATTTCCTGTAATATTCCACCAGTTTCTAAGTTCAAGTGTTACTGCATCGTAGGTTGTGTGTCTGTACATCTATAGGCACCTGATCAGTGGTGCAAGTAGAGCAACAGCATCAACATTGTTAAGGAGTATGGGGTATAAACCTGTGGTTTTACTCCCTTATGCTTTGACTTAAAAATGTCTGCATTCAGACAAACACGTGTATTGTTCATCAGTTCTAATTTTAGTTTCATCCCCTCAGATGGTTCAATCCAGCTCAGCCCATGTGCTACTAGTCCACCAGTCAGACAGCACTCATCTGCAGAGAAACGTGATGAAAGCTTGAAGTTGTTTTTTTACAGAGTGTTAAAACCGTGCTGCATCTCTGGCTGTGAACCAGACAGAATGGAAAAAAAAGAAAAAAGTGTGATATCACACTTTTCAGGAGTGCAAGACGACCACGAGTTCATAAAAATTGTAACGCAGGTTGTTGTTTTTTTTTTTTGTTTGTTTTTTTTTGCTGCTCTCGCAATACAGCAGCCTGAAGCATACGCAGGTGTGTGAGCCCTCGTGTAAACATGTTTGTGTTGTAAATATATTAAGGTTAACTGAGATAATTTGGGCCCAAAAGTGAAATTATGTGGATGTCGAAATCTTGTTCTAGATGTCAACTAGTTGTCTGTATTTAGCAGCAGAGATTGGTTAAATTTGTGGAGGGAGTGCTATTGTAGAGCTTGAGTTTGGGTTTTCTGATTTCAAGCACTTCACACTCCCAGCTAAGTTAAACAGTCTTGATAGCATTTTTATCTCGAAGTAAGGATGAGTACTTCAGTTTGTGTACTCGCCGATACAGAGTACTCCAAGACCCCCCCCCCCCCCCCATGTCCTGGATGAGTGAGAATCCACAGAAACATATAGTTCTATTTGATAGTGCATATATACTATTTGCATGGACAAAATTAACTACGTAATTCAGTAATAGAGAATTGTCAATGTTCCATTTAGAGTTGATGGTGTTAAGATTTTCAGTCAGTGAGGTGAAGTTTTTGGGTGTCGTCGTTGATTGAAAGCTGACATGGAGACCTCACATAACTCATTTAAGACTAAAAATAGCTAAATCTATTGCAGTACTGTACAAAGTAAGGGAGGAATACAGTGATAAAGCTCTGTATGTGTTGTATAAAGCAATAATTGTTCCACACTTAATCTATTGTAATGTTTGGCGGAAGCATGTAAAACCATTACAAATCTTATTTTTGTGTTACAGATAAGAGCTGTAAGAATTATCACTAGAAAACATTATAGTCACCCATCAAATACATTATTTTATCAATTAAAGTTATTGAAGTTCTATGGTTTGGTTGATTGTAGTTATGTATAGGGCTCATAAAAACACAGTACCTTTCAACATTCAATTAAATTTTGTTAAAAGAGAGAGTTGTTATAATTTCAAAAGATAGAGTTGTTTGTGAAACCAAACTTTTGAACTACTGTGAAGGAACGGTGTACTTCAATCCAAGGAATAAGATTATGGAACAATCTAGAGAGTGATGTTAAAAATGCCAGATCAATGTTTATGTTTAAGAGAATAATCAAAGTCGGTTTGTTGAAAAAAAAATGTAATAGTATAATTTGTATCTGTATGAATTGTTGCTCAAGAAGGAATTAATGTTTTTTGTTACTTGTTTTGTTTTTGTTGTCTGAAGGTTATTATTGTTTGAATTTATTTTTGGAATAAAGGGGCATGTATTATAAGATTTTTTTCTTCTTTCTGCTGCCTGTCATTTTATTTGTGATTAAATTTCTTATTGTGTATAATAAACTTTATAAATAAAAAATAAATAGTAACGTTGGACCGTGTCGATTCCAAAGTTACTGGATCGATACTTTAGTTGATTTCACTTCCACCACGTTGCTTTGTTCCATAAATGCATGCTGCATGGAAGCAGCAGGTCAAAATGTTAACATTGAACTAAACAAGCAGTTCAGATAATAATTTAACCAGCTCTGATTGTACAGCAACTATACAATCTACATGCTAACAAAGCATCCATGGAATGAGACCAGTTTATTTCTTTAAACAGCAAGCTGAACAAGACGTCATGTCATCATCTGCGCACACGGGTCGCATCGACGGCATGAAGCATTCACACTGGAGTCTAATGGAGGTCACATTTATTATGTGTTTGTCCACACAAAAAATAGGTGTAATTTTGGGGCATCAGGGTAAATTGTTGGTATTGGGAAACCACTAACTATTACATTACTGTGTATAATATTCATCCTTTTTCTTTTCCATGTTCAAAGCCACAGGGAACAGGGTGCCTGTCTCCATCGGTCATTGGGTGTTGTGTACCTTGGACAGTTATATGAATATTTTTGATTTTTGGACTTGGTGATCAAAACATATAACTCAGAGAAAACCCACACATGCACAGAGAGAACATTAAAACTCTACATAAAGAGACTGCAACTGGTAGTCAAATACAGAACCTTCTTTTTGTGAAGTAACATTTCAATCACCACTATGCAGCTCTGTGCATAAGTTGGCCAATAAATATACAGGGGTTAGACAATGAAACTGAAACACCTGTCATTTTAGTGTGGGAGCTTTCATGGCTATATTGGACCAGCCTGGTGGTCAGTCTTCATTAACTGCACATTGCACCAGTAAGAGCAGAGTGTGAAGGTTCAATTAGCAGGGTAAGAGCACAGTTTTGCTCAAAATATTGCAATGCACACAACAATATGGGTATAACTTACCATAGTTCAAAAGAGGACAAACTATTGGTGCACGTCTTGCTGGATCTGTGACCAAGACAGCAAGTCAGAGCCACGATATCCAGGGTAATGTCGGCATACTACCAAGAAGGACCAACCACATCCAACAGGATTAACTGTGGACGCAAGAGGAAGCTGTCTGAAAGGGATGTTCAGGTCTAAAACCAGGTGTTTCAGTTTCATGTCTAACCCCTGTAGGTGCTGATTAGATTTGTGACAGTAGCTCACTGCACCCATTAACTACTATTGCTGTTTGGCTTATCAAAATTAAAAATATATATAACGTGTTTAGTTCAAATCAAAATGCCAAACTGCGTGGCCACTCACCTGGTTAGTATTCTTGCTTTGCAGCAGGTTCCTGGTTTCACATTTTCTTCTTATCTGTTTCTCTTTTTATTCAGTTTCTTGTCAGAAAAAACTATCATCCTTTGTGCTGGTAGGCAGGATGTTAAAAATGGAACAAACCAACGCATGTTGTGAAACTAATTAAAGCAGCAGCTACAGACGAGTTGTACCTTTTTGACATGTTTTTCTTCTTCTTCACACATTTTCCAACAGTTTTAATCAGTCGTGCTGATGATTCAGTCGGGAATGTTTCATGTCAGTCCAGGCTGTAAAAAGTACCTCAGATGTGAGTCACTGTCTGTGGAGGGGAAAGAAATTGGATTTTAGTTTTTATTTCACTGGAAGCAGGAGCGCTCCAGAATGATTTCTTCCCAAGTATTCAGCGCTGGAGAGGTTTCAGTCATCTGTCATCAGATTTGTGAATTTGTCTTTTTGAACTGTCGCGTTTCATCATCTGTAAACAGCAAAGTGACTCTCTCCTTTTGGATATAAGTTAACACGGACAACTGATGGCATTTTAGTTCAGCATTAAGCAAATAATCATGTGCTGACACAGTTTAACCATTTTCTTTTGGGTTTTTTTTTTTGTGTGTTTAGAAGTTTCCTGAGCTCAAGTTTAAATATGTGGAGGAAGACCAACCAGAGGACTTCTTCATCCCGTACGTCTGGTCGCTGGTCTTCAACTCAGGAGTTGGCCTGTACTGGAACCCTCACGGCATCGAGCTGTTCAGCATGGACTCTGGCTGAAAAACAACAAACTTTATTCTCCTTCAGAACAGAACTAAAGGACTGATGATGATGATGATGATGTGTGTTACTGTTTGTAGTCGGTGCACGCTGCTTTCAAAGTGCCTCGACCTTGTACATGACGGTGTTCCTCTTTATGCAGCACAGCCTTGTATTGTAATAATAATAATAATAATAATAATAATGATGATAAGAATTCCTCTGCTTCTTCACTGTGAAGCTTCATCTGTGCAGGTGAACACAGTAGCTTCCACTTATTTACACTGCAACAAATGCGCAATTAACAAAATATATCCATTCATATCATGGCAAGAAACTCAGGTCAGTGGTGATGGATGAGCCCGTGTTTTTGTCTTCATTTTATTTCCAAACAGGTCATTTGAAGGAACATTCAGCAAAATGTTACACTTTTTTCTGTAAAGATCCATGTACCCACAGACTTATCCTTAAACATACGTATGTATTGTATTATACTGACTTTAAAATATTATTATTGTAACTTTAGGTTTTATTTAAACCCCAACTGATTTTTTTAATGCCGCTGGTTTATTGTAAAGGGGTTGACGAATTTTTCTGGTAGAAAGAAAACACTTTATTTTTTTTAGTTCAAACATGCAGTCTCAGTGTTGCTGTTTAACATCCCACATTCAAGTGCAGTTTAATTAAAACTTAATTTCAGTCCCTGGGTAATATTAGCTCTGATTCGTGTGATTTCATGGTTGCTTCCAGACCATTAATTTGACTTTTGTCAGTCTTTCATTAGCATCTTTTCCAGATGGTAACCCAAAGACAGACACTAACTCTCTTGTTCCTTTTTTTTGATGCAAAATGACAACTGCCTCTTCAGTTTGTTGCTGTGTTTGCATGTTTAACTAAAGACTTAAGTTATTTATTTTCACGTATGTTGTTTTTATAAATCTATATATTCAACAACCTTAAATATAAATGGCAGTAGTAGCGAACTGAGTGCTGCTTGAAAATAAGAAAAACAGTGCAAGTGTAATTGTTTCCAGGTGGGGAAAGTAGCTTTTTAATGTATAACATGATGACAACTGTCATTTTGTGGAACAGTTTCCTTCAAAAACAGGAGTTTAAATAAAAATATCAAAACAAAGCAACGCGATGTCACATGCTTAAGAAAAATGAAATCATCTTGGGAACAATGCTTTGAGAAATTTCATACTTCGTGATATTATCAGTCCCAAATGAAAACTAAAATGTAATAGAATAAACTGATGCTGTAGGGTTTCTTGTAGTTATAACTTGGTGTTCTGCTCTAACTAAAGTACGTATTTTTCTAAATCAAAACCTTATTTTTATAGTGCTTGGTAAATTTAGCCTTTATAGAAGAAATAATCAGATTATTCAGGTGCAGGTTTTTAATTTTAAACTAACCAGGAATTGGATCAATATACTTCACAAATACGTTTTCATCATTTGTTTTAAAGCAAATTTTTATATAATGTGTTTTAAAACCTTCATGTTTGATTGATCAGATAAACATAGGTTTGGAGGGTGTTGACTTTTAGCCAAATTGTAACTATTTTCAAATTCACATCATATTCTTGAAGTGAGGCCAGATGTGACTCTTCTGAGTATTTAGTATACCTGACTAACCAAGGTGATGGCTTATATTCACTATTCTGACAACACATCATAACGACAATATCTTTCTCTTCTCCTTTTCTGCATTTCTCAGCTGTTCTGTTAAAATGCTGATCTAACACAAGCTGCATATGTTCTGAACAGGTAACTGGGTTTGAAGCCTTAAAAAAAGACACTGAAAATCATTAGGAAATAATAATAAAAAATGGGGTTAGAAAAGGTGTTAAAAAAAGAAAAAAAAACATTTATTTTTATAATCCAGTGATTGCTTGTGACTTTTTATTTGTTTTCATTACCATCATTGAAAAAATCAGTAACACTTCAAAATAATTACACCTTTTTTAGCCTTATAATCATTAATTAATGGTTCATGATTCAAACTTAAGCTATGAATTTACACATCTAGTAATGATTTACCCAAAAAAAATACTTTCAAAACCAACATTGTTTATTCATATTTAATAACTGTAAAGGCTGAAAATGTTCATATACTGTAAATACTTTCACACCATATGTTAGTCGTGTATTGATGGTTAGAGAACATTTAATCCTCCAATGCATTAAGGCAGGTGTTGGTAGTTAATTAAGTCTTTTTGTGAACCCTTCTAAAATGAAAATTATTTGTGCTTTTTTATAATGTAAACAAAACTCTGAAGAGCCATAAATTCATTTTCACCTGTAGAAATCAGATTGAAATCAATGTCAATTCAGACATTTATATTTTATTTTGATGATGATGACATATGTACACAGTATATAGAATATTAAATTCATGATTTAAGCATGAATAAGCAATGAGTATGTTGGTTTTGGAAGTAATTAGCCTTTATTAGCTTATTAAGTATGAATCGTCCTTGATTAGTGATGTTTTCAAGGTTAACTAACCATTCATTAGTGATTGAATTAAGCTTTAAAAAAGGTGAAGTTATAAAGCACTACCAAAAAGCTTTTAAACCTGTTACTTTGCTACAATTTTCATACATGGGAGTCGACACACAATGCTGCCTGTTTTTATTTTCACAGCCCAGTTTGCTCCTTCTGCACAGTAAGCAAATGAAACATCCAAACCCAGTGATCACGTTTAGAAACTGTGTTGCTCAGTGTTGAAACAGAAACTGAGGAGGAAACGGACTTTGGATGGGAAAAGTTTACAACACAAAGGCTCCCTTTGTGCTGTGATACTCCCTCTTCTTTGAAGAAATGCATGCCTTTTGGTTTCATTGTAACAATACTCATGTTTGAAATTGTCTTTCTCTCAAAGTAATAACAGTGCTTGGTGTAAAGAATGGTTTGTGTTCAGCTTGTGGTTGACAGTAAGGTTACAGTGACCTTGGCTGCTGAAGGACACTGAAGGGACCAGCCTCACCTGTTCCACTAACAGAACCAGATGGTCTGACGGAGGTTTTCACAAAGTGACATGGCTCTCCTTGTTCCTGTACAGAGCACAGGTCATCTTACACGCACTCTTCCATTTCAGGCGGCGTCAGAGAAAGATGGATGATGCACGGGATTCTGGGATCGGTAGTTTATTTTCCTGCGTGCTTGAGACTCCTCCTGAGGGCCCGAGTGGCATTGTGTCGACTAACCGGTTGCCGCCGGAGGTCAAACTCAGATTTCCACAGAGAGACTGAAAGAAGTAGGGCGCACAAAACTGGTTTGCTGAAGTACCGAGACTGTGATCCAGAGCTCATTAATATGACTGATTGCCACGGTAATGCTGGGAGGCCGTTGAGGTTCAGCAGTTTTAGGTTAAGGTTGGAGCCGGAGACGAGTCTCATCACAGACTGAGACTCAACCACGCTGGTGCAAAACAACCCACTATTCTGCAAATCCTGACCGGAATGAAAACAACAGGCTGGACCAATAACTGGTTAAAACGAATGCACAGAAAAAGTATACAGATGAGACAGATCAACTGATGTGAAGCTGATGTCTACAATGTAAGAATCTACTTATCTTTGTGACTATAAACAGTCAGAGGGAGGGACTGTCTGCTCAGGTCACCTCAGGACAGGAAGTGTTTYTGTGTGTGTGTACTGTGCACTGTAACTATGATTGGTCAAAAGAGTCAATAATAGTATTCACTTAAAGACATGCATATACGGAAATACTCGCAGCAGGTACCGGCCTTCATGAAAACATGGTCCAGTTCTGAGTTTTATGATAAAATAATGATCTGTCATCTATAAGCCATGATTTGGTGGTTTTATAGGTTAGGTACGCTTCACATTTTCACAGAATTGGGTTGTATGAACAAAATTTGGGAGCATGAAAGCATTCCAGAATGAGAATATCCATCCATCCATCATCCATTATCTATACCCGCTTCTTCCTTTTCAGTGTTGCGTGGGTCACTGGTGCCCATATCCAGCAGTCACAGTGCGAGGGGCGGGGTACACCCTGGACAGGTCGCAAGTCCATCACAGGGCCAGAATGAGAATATGGATAATTTAATATTTATATTAATTCAGTCCTCTTTTATTTCAGTATAAAATCAGCCTATAAAGACTGTAGGATCCCCTAGAGAGCAATTTTAGCACAACACTCGATGTTGGATAAAAGTGCCACCAAACAACTTGTTTCACATTTATTTGTTAAAGTCCCTGAAACACTTACCCACATCAGGAATAAAAAAGTCGGCACAGAACGGTTTCTGTTGGAGAACAGATGCTGAATTCTGAGCCTGTTTAGGTTAAAGTTATCTGAATTTCAAGAAATCAGAATTACCAATATATCCATATAAATGTTGTTCATGAAGCTTATCTTACATGAATAAGACATCTGGTCCTGGTTGCTCCTTCACTAATGAAAAAGTTTTTTTTTATGGATTGGTTCATTGTTGTGTCGACAATAAAAAAAAACATTTAATGAGAGAAAAAACTTGGGTTGTGCAGCTTTTATGCAGTCCTACACAAATAGCAAAGTTGCATTTGCCAAGGTTAAAACAAAAGCATTCCTAGTAAATAAAATAAAATAAATTAAACAACCTGACGCTTGGCATGGCAATGAATTAAGACTGAAAGTCTATGGTTTGTTTGGTGCAAATATTTGTGCACAAATATGCTAAAATTTAGAAAAACCTTCAGAAAATTTGAAGGACTGTTGATCAAGAACAATAAACGCTCAGAACGTTTGAGTCGTTGCAAAATATAAAGAAATTACAGATGCTTTAAAACTTTTGCAGTGCTGTAGCTAGTAACAATATATGTAGAAAACACATTTTACTGCACTTTAAAAAAAAAAAAAAAAACAAATCCACACTTATCCTTGGCATGCTCACACATAAAAGAATTGACCTGTGCAGATCTATACTAAGAGTTTCAAATTAAAAACATTTAAAATAATGGGTCTCTGAAGCCAGCTGCTCTGATAAGATGCTGAATCTCTGAGCGTACCAGACTGAAGGAATGCAAAGACTGACAGTCCTGTTTGTGAAACTTCCTAAAAACTTTAATAAAACATACAAAACAATTAAATAAAAATTCCCCACACCGAAGTGTTCGTGAAGACTTGTTTTCTCTACATAATAAAATATCTCTTAAAAAAAGAATCAATTCAGTCAATTCAATGATTGAAATTTAAGCATGCACACATTATTTTATACTCTATTACAGTGATTCCCAACCCTGGTCCTGAAGGACCCCTATCCAGCATGTTTTACTTGTTTCCCCGCTATTCAGCAGGTCTTCCGA